TCAACAACCTAACTAAAGCAAATGACAAGAAAGTGAGTGGCAAAGCAGCAAGAACCAAAGATGGAGCTGAGGCACTTGGTGCTGGTGGTGAATTGACCGGTGAATCGCTCGATGGCACGGTGGGGCTGGATGGTGTAGACGCGGTGGAAGGCGTGGGGGCGGTCACGTCAGTACCGGTGACATTGATGGCTAATTTTTGACCCAATGAACAGTGTCTAGGGAATGTACACATATAGTAATGTTCACCAGAATTTGTGAGTCTAATTCTGGCTGGACCATTGCTAATTGTGTTTATTGGAGAAGTTGTGTTACATGAGTCATAAGATGCCTTGCTAACCATTGCAACATTGTGTGTCCCATTCACAAAATTGAAAACTACATTTAAAAAAAAAAATTATAAATTGAGCAATCATAGATCACGACGAGTCAATGTCTATCATAATTGGTAACATGATAAAAATCGTAAAAAAAATAAAAAAATTGAGTTGAATTTTAGTACTTACCAAGAGTATCTCCAACTTTGAATGATTTGCCATTAGCCCATCTTTGATAAGCATTTGGGCCACTAGTAGGAACACTCCAGCCCAAGTTATCTCCAACAATATAAGTTTGGGCTACACTAGCAGGTGCAGGTGCCGTTGCCGGAGCGATCGACACGGATGGGGCTGGAGCCCTCACCGGGGTGGTGGTGGGTGGAGTGGTGGGGGATGGCTGAGGAGCGGGAGAGGTGGAGCCGGAGACGTTGATAGCCAATTTCTGGCCCAATGTACAATGGCTTGGAAAAGTACAAAGGTAGTAATGTGATCCAACAGAGGTCAATGTAATATTTGTTGGGCCATTAGTTGAAATTGAAATTGGGCTTGAAGTATTGCATGAATCAAAAGCTCCTTTTGATACTTCAGCCACACTATGTGATCCAGTTCTAAAGTTAAATACTGCAAAAGAAAAATAAAAAAGAGTCCAAATTAAATTTATTACATTAAAAAACCGCCAAAAGTATTGATTTTGATTTTTTAAAACATATCTATTCTAAATTCATCGACTCTAAATCATGAATTTGGCATGATTGTTTGGTGGTGAGTATGGACTAGTATTATTTAACTATATACATAAAAGTTGAATGGAATGTAGTGTGTCTAAAAAATATATATAGCTGTCATAACTTTGTAAGTATTTGGCACTACATATAACATAATATATACTACTATTAATTAAATAAAAACAATACAAGTGGGAAGGAATCTAGGTGGTAGTAAAAAAAGCAAAAGGTGTTATCACCCATTACCCATTAACACTTTATTAGAGTAAACTAAACATAATTAACGAAAAGTAATACAAAGTGGAAATTTAGTTGAGTTTAAATTTTTGAAGGTGATAGCAAAAGTATCTACACAATCCGATCATTTATTAGGTCGTTTTTTATATTATCAAAAAAACGATGTAAGAATTTGTAATCTTAAACATGAATTAGGGTAAAGTGACCTAATAATAAGGTAGTATTTTTTACATTGACGATGTATATAAATTAAACTCATTACAGATTCAAGTAAGTATGGTAACTTAAATAACATCCGGTGAATCTAGTAACTAACATGATATCACAAATCAAAATTCACTAAATGGTACTCTTTGATCTCAATTTATAACTCACTTTTTTTAGTTAGTCCGAGAAAGAACGATACATTTTTATAATTAGTGACGATTTAACTTTAAAATGCTCATTTTAGCTACACAAACATATCAGTGACTTATTTTAGACAAATTTCAAAAGTGTTTCTTTCTTTCTTAAACTCCGTATACGACACATAAATTGAGATGAAGGAAGTAGTATATATAAATCTTTATACTATCAGTGTATATACTAACCAAGAATGTCACCGACGGCAAAGGATTTCCCGGCGGCCCAGGTGGAATAAGAGGCGGCGCCACCATTAGGAACGGTCCAAGCCAAAGTATCACCAACAACATGAGTTTGTTGTGCCATAGAAACATGTTGCAATAAAGCAAATAAAATTGCACCAAAAACAACTAAAGTACTCAATTTTCTTGCCATTTTGCACTATATGTTCTTTAAGATCAAGTCACCCCTGTCTCTTTTTTTTTTGTGTGTGTTTTTCTCTCTTTGATAGAGTAGAAAAAGAGTTGAGTTGATGTATTGTGGTGGCAATGAAGTTTCTATTTATAGAGGAACAATAAAGAGTTCTATTTTTCTTTTTCCTTTTCCTTTTTTGGATGGGGTAAGGGTGACTTGTTCAAACTTAGGATTAAATTGATTAAATGATAAGGATAATAATATACTATTGTAAACCGAGTTATACTAGTTTAAATTTTGAAATTGTTTGGGATTAGGATTTTGTTTTTTATTTTATTTCTTAAGAAAAGCAAATATGCTTTCTAAAAGTTATGATCAGACACAAGTTGAAACTTCAATTCAAGCTTCACTCAAATCTGATTTTTGAAATCTCCGTTTCAATTCATTTGTTTTGCTTTCTTTTTTAATCAGTTAAAAAAAATCTCTCTTTCTTTTTTTGACAACTCTTTTAATTTAATTCCAACTTTTAACATGACATGTTTAAAACTACAAAATTAAAGAACATTTTGATACAACTCTCTCTCTCTATATATATATCGTTTGTTTAGTAAGATTGTAACCTTACACTTAAGCGAGCATGTTCGTTTCAGTTTGATTTTTTAATTTTTACTCCCTCCATTTTAAATTAATTGCTGTCATATTTTATTTTTTAGGACAATTTGACAATTTTTTAAAACTAAATTGAATTAAATTAACTAAATATGCTTAGATTTAAAATCTAAATATTCAAAAACTATACAATAAGTGCTATAAGTTGCAATTTTCTTAATGTCAACTTGATGACAAAATATATAATACCATTCAAAGTTTACATAATTAGTCTGTCGAGAAGCGAAACATGACAACTAATATGAACCAGATGGAGTATTGAATTATGAAGTGTTAAACACTAGATTACCATTTCAATTTCTTGCAAATCACATTATTAACATTTGACTTTGACCAATTATTAACCAATTAGAGGATTACAAACATGAAACATATAGGTGAGTAATTTAAATTATTTTTGGTCATGAAGTTGACCTATTAGATGTGAAATGGGCGTGTGTTCTAGAAAATAAATGAACCATTGGAGAAGGGAACTTTAGCCTTTTTTAGGCTGCCGCGTTACGCCCTAGAACTTCACCCACCCCCTTTGGACTTTTTTGCACCAATTATTGACTATACTCTTTTTTTTTTTTTTAGATCTTTCCAATTGTATTTTATTTTTTTTGGGTGTTAATTAAACTGTTATGGTGATTAATAAACATATCGAAGCATTTATAGACAAGAAGAGATTGCTCAAGTGGTAAATAGTTTTATCTTCGACTCTAATTAAGATTGTGAAATTTTACTAGTTGTAAGAGCAAGAAGAGTGAATTTCGGATATACCATGTCTTTCTTTTGTCCTATGCATAAATGGAGAGAGATAGAGATAAAAAAGACATGCATCAGCATCAAGCGTCTGATTTAATGGTCAATAAAGTGGGTTAAAAATTATGAAATTTCTAAAGTCAAATTTCAATAAAAATAAAATCTTTAAATATATATTTTTTTTTTCTAAATTTTAATAGACCGAGTGATTTTATACTTGTACTGATGAGAAATAATAGGTACCACATGAAATCAAATGCACCACTTCCAAATTCTAATGATGCTTGTTAAACTTGCATGTTCAGATATACCAAATACACAAACAATACCTCAAGCATATTCACATGCCTTCAAAAGGTATGGCCGGTGGGCTAATTGGATATCTTCACCTTTAATTAGAGTTTTTTGATTCATATTTTAAAAATTATGATAGATAATTTAAGATATAAGGAGTACGAAGGTAACATATTCAATTAATGTTTTCATGTTTGTTGAGTTCAAAGATTGCACCGTACTTAGGGAAGTTGGAGTAGTTGTATGTGTTTGATATCGAGGAAAGCATTTTTCGAGAAAATGTTTTTCAATTTTCGTATGTTTGGTTGATCAAAATGTTTGGAAAATATTTCTCTAGTAAAACAAGCTTCTTAAAAATGAGGAAAATGACTTCTCTAATAGAAATACGGAAAACGAATTGTCTCATCTTCACTCATCCAACCCTCACCCCTTAACCATCCCATCCCCTGCCACTCCCGAACCTCCACTCCCATTCCTATCTGCCTCCATGACGTTTTACTAGATAACCTATAAATACTCTTGAGATAATATTTTCATGTTTACTTATCTAACACTAAAAAACAAGTTAGAGACTCACTTATTTTTTGAAAACTTTTTTTAGGAAATCATTTTTCGTGGAAAACATATTTTTTAAAAAGTATTTTTAAAATTTGTGTTATAACAAGTGTGAGAGAATGGATGGCTCCAAATTAATTAAATCACTTAAGATCATGTTAGGTTATAGAGGGTTACCTGCATATAGTGCTAATGAAGTTGCTCTATTATATATCAGCAACTTCACTAGCTAACAACCATTCTCTTGCACCTAGCATATATTGGTCTAAACTAGTGTTTAAAAGGTGGGAGCGTGAGGCGAGACGTTTTATGCAGTATGGGGCGAAATGTAAGTTTTGAGACACGGAGCGTAAGTCTTATATATGGATCTACGGGTGTAGTTTCATGTATATTCAATTTTATAGTTTTATTACTAAGAAAATAAGCAAAAGTACACTACAAGAAAAAGGCTTACTAGGGACCAGTATTTAGCGACGAGATGAAATTCTGGTCGCTAAAAGGGTATTTTTAGCGACTAGATTTTTTTCCGGTACCAAATTATCAATTTTATTTTATTTAATGACGAAGGGTCAAAATCTCGTCCTAGAAAATGTAAACTACTGGTCGTTAAGGTCCTAAATTGAGCGGGACCCACATGCCACCAAATTTTCCCCTAAATATTTATAAGTTATATCATTTACAAATAAATATAAAAAGGAATTATAAACATTCCTCTGTTCAGAAACTTAGCGACTAGCTAGGGTTTACTCCCCATTCTCAACTTTTTCTCAATCTTCATCATTTTTACAACTTTGTTCCACGATTTGATTGAAATTTCTTCTTGATTTCTTGGTTCAGCGTCACGATTTACGTTAATAACTCTTCTTCTCTGATTCTCGTGGTTTCATGAGTTTTCGATTTGGTGTTTTTGCTTTGGAAATTTTATATTTTTGTTTTTTGATGTTGTGGTATTAAGTGATTGAGTTATTTTCATGGAGAGGTCGTATCTTTAAGATTTTTGGAAAGAAAATCTCGTGTATTCACTCCAGATCCAGTATGGTTCAAGGAGACTTAACATTAACTTGAAATTGTAAGTTTGCTTTGCCTAATTTAATTTTCTTTTGTTTGTGTTAAATATGGCTGTATGTGTTTGATTTTATTTTATCGACTAATATATTTTTTTATTGCTTCTCCAGTGGTGAAATTTTTAAAGGAACATTTGAAGAAAAAATATTGTCAAATTGGTGATAACTTCATTAATGCTATCTATTGCGATAAGATGGTGAGTTGTGTCTATGTTCAGGGACTTGAGGTAATCAATCATAGCATTTTATTCCTTAGCTGTTTGAAACCTATTAATGGTTGAGGTGGTCAATTTTAAGTTTTTGGCAATTGTGGATTTGAAGATAATTTTTGTGTAGTATTATAAATATAGTTATGCTAAATTGGTATCTTGGAGTTAGAAAATTCAATTGATATTCTGTATGCAGTAGAAGACAAACATCTTTTGAATTAGATATCTTCACTGGTGAATTCAGGATTGAAGTTAATTTGTGCAGAGACCTCTACTATTTTTTTCCAACTAGAAAGAGGAAAGGCCAATTTTCCTGTTAGCAAAAAAAGAACTTGCCAATAACTTATGTTTTGTCAAGGCTTTCAATTCTCCCTAGTAATTAAATTACAAACAATGGGTAAAAGTACTAAGTTCAAAATTAAAGTAGTTGTTGCACTAAATCCCATTTTTCAGAGAACAAGCTTTGAAATTGTTGGAGTGTTGTCAAGCCCCATTTCCCAACTAAATTCGTTTGCAAATTCAACATGTTTGTACTTGTCCTTATTGATAGACCTATCGTATTATAGTAACCAAGCCATGGCTGGTATGCAAATTCCTTGCTTTATATCTATATAGGATAACACATGTTCCACCTTTTTTTGGCCTCTGGATCAAGCAGGGATAAATGTGCATTTGATATGGGCAAATCTTTAATCGTAGAAAAGGGATGAAGGTGCCTTTTATATGGGCAAATCTTGGGTAGATATTCTCATCTTATGATAACTTAAATATTTAAGGTAAGTCTTGCTTAGTGATTGTTGTTTTGCATGCATCTAAGTTTAGCAAAGGAAATATGAAACTCTCGAGCTATGTTCCAACTTGAGGTGTAATATCGCTAAACATCATCTCAGAAATCTTTTAAGCTGCAACCTTATAGAGATTCAAACAATTGGGATTGGTGAAGAACTGAAGATTATGCTATTGCTAGCTGATGAGTCAATGATCTCAAGTTTAAATTCCTATTAGCTTATGGATGCATGCAGTAAATTATTCCCTTCTTTTATTCTCATTTAAGCTTTGCATTTTCAGTTTTATCATTACGTGTGGCACATTTGAGAGGAGGGGGTGGTGCCAGAAGATGGCAATTGAATCAACTCATGATTTGGATTTCCTTCTTTTGCTGCTCTTACTCTTTCATTTGCACGTGTATGGGTATGTATATCTTATGCTTAACTGTCAGCAGCTTGAAATTAACTTCTGTGGAGAAATGAGTATCTGTAGTGCAGACACTACTGATATCATACGGACATTAATATGCAAATTGACTGGTTTACTATTGATACTTAGCATCCATAACTAGATAAAACTCTGATGTTGTAGTTGTATCTAGTGTAAGAATCTAATACAACACAATATCAGTTTCGAAGATGTGATTGAATCGTAGAATCTGTTTTCTTCTCTGAACTTTTATCATTCGTTGGTAAAAGAAAAAGTCTATCTTTGATGCTTTTATGGTAACTCTTGTACTTTTAAGTTGTCTTCGACTACTGAACGTAATTTTTTATAAATATTCGAGTTGGCCATCTTAGTGGCGACTTCTATTAGAAACGATAATTACTAAGAGGTTATGCTAAGATAGAGGCCATGAACAAGTGAGCTTTATTTATTATTCATGTTTGCTGGCATTGGTGCTATATTTATTTGTATAGAGTTGTATTATGCTTCACCTCAATTATTGTATCTTCTGTTCCTATCCTAGTTGTAGTTGGTACACTGCAGACACCTTACTATTTAGAAGATAATGTAAGAAATAACATAGAAGGCACCATTTCAGCTTGATTTAAATAGATGTGCGAATAATTATCCTAGACCGAAAAAAAGTAGGCTGGAGATTTTGAGCCAAGAATTGCATCTGCAAGCGCGTTAGGAACAACCTGGCCCCGGTTGAACTGTTTAGTGTGCTCAAGAGAATATGTTGCAGCTTTGAACTAATCTCCTTCACTTTGTGGCATAACCTTGATTAAAAAAAATAGTTTCATCCTTCTTATTGACATGTACAATTTAGGACTTATACAGTATGCCGTATGTGTCTGACTTAAAGTGTCGATAGTAAAGCTGAGTGTATGGAATATTTTATTTAATCAAAAAATCATGTAATGTCAAGATAGATCATTTAAGTATCTTAAAGTGATATGTTAACAGTCACACGATCTCTAGTTTTAATAGACAGTCTCTTGCTCAAGACTGATAAATGAAGATGTAAAAAAAGTCATCCTTGCGAGTCACATGCCTTGCGAGCCACTGTTATTACTTGGTACCATTATTTCAATATATTTCTTCATTACTGTCATTTCTAAAGAACAATGGAAAATTAGTGAAAGAATATGAACATTGAGGTCAAAAAGAGCAAAAGCTAAGTTCTAGAAAAGTACAAGTTCTCCAATTAATTGTATACTACTGTTTTAACTTTCACGTCCTTCTGTGATTTTTTTAAAAATCTTTTTTGGTTGTTTCTACCTTCAATACTGCTAGCAGTTTGGTAAGAAAACAGGGTGAATAATATGAAATTGTTATTGGAAGAAATACTAGTTTAATTGTAGTCTAATTGGTGCAATATAGGCATTTATCATTCAAATTTTGTTTGTACAGGTTAGATACTTGGTATTCAATAACTAGCAGTTCCTGCTACCTTCTGAAAGATCTTACCAAACAGAAGTTTGAATTTTCTTTATTCATCTCCTCATCCTAAATTATTGCTATCCTACAAATACCGGTGGATAATTTTTGGATAAAAATGGTGGTGCATATATAATAGTGCCCTCTAACAGTATCTTGTATGACTTTTTTGAGCAAATTTAATTGTTTAGTCCACTTGTTTAGTACCAATATATTTTTGTCCATGTAGTTGGCAGAGTATGTAACTAAGAATCAAAAATCTAGAATGTAATATTTTATTTATTGTCTACATTGAAATGTGTTTTGTATGATTAGATTGTGCACATTTCTTTTCTCTGAGAAAAATTTATTTTGTATGTTTCACAGGATTTGGAGATTTCTATTTACAAGTCGAGATGCAAGTTTGAAGATTTTGAACAAGTTTTGACAATTTGGTCATCATTTTTGTAGGGCAGTTTGGCAAAGTATTTCATTACTTGTATACTTAGAGATGTTAGTTCTTTAGGCAAATGAGTTGTGTAAACAATATCGTGATTATATTTTTTAAAAGAATTCGACATGTACGTGTGATGCTAATCTTTAGTTTTAATTAATATGACTGATGATTTTGTTTATATGCATTTGGTTATTTATATTTGAAATTTCATAGTATTGTAGAAAAATATGATAAGAGAGAGCATATATTGTTTAGGTACCACATTTTCTGGCAATTGTAAACCACCTTTCTGGACCAGTGATGCTACAGTCTTTAAAACACTTTAAGGACCAAAGTTTTGGTCACAAAATCTTGTAGTGACCAGTTATAATTGTCTTGAGATGTGGTCTTAAGGACGAGAAATGTAGTCCCTATAGGGTAATAAGGACCAGAATTGCGCCAGTCGTAAAATCGTTTAAGGACCAGTACTTCAATCTCGTCCCTATTGATCGTTAGCGACGAAGCCGGTAAGGACGGGTATTTCCCGTCGCTATCAACTTTTGGGGACCAGAAAGAGATTTTTAGGGACCATATTTCTCGTCCCTAATAGCATTTTTTCTTGTAGTGGTAGAACTTTCAATTATTTTACAAATAAATTTTAATAAATAACCTGTAACATATAGAAAACAATATTATGATTTTTATTTGAGAAATGTATTAATAACCAATAATGAAAAAAGAAAAGTATTACAAGTACTATTTGAGACATATCATTACACCAATAATAAAAAATATGATTTAAAGCAAAAATGGTTCAAAAACCAAAAAACCAATAATAAAAATTTTTCTCAGGACGTACATTTTTACGCTTGGAGCTTACGTCACAAATTCTAGGACTTACGCCCTATGGATCTACGTCTTCAATTTGCACCTCGAAACGTTTCTGATATGCCCCACCCCGAGACTCGCGCGCCCCAAAAAACATTTTTAAAATCACTGATCTAAACTAAAACATTTGTCAGCAGCAACATTAATTAATTTACTATAGTATATTATTATTCTCCTCATTTAATCAAATTTATCCTAAGTTTGAACAAGTCACCACTTACCAAATCCCAAAAAGGAAAAGGTAAAAGAAAAATAGAACTCTTTATTGTGCCTCTATAAATAGAAATCATATTGCCACCACAATACATCAACTCAACTATTTTTCTACTCTATCAAAGAGAGAAAAACACACACACAAACAAAAAAGACGGGTGATTTGATCTTAAAGAACATATAGTGCAAAATGGCAAGAAAGTTTAGTACTTTAGTTGTTTTTGGTGCAATTTTATTTGCTTTATTACAACATGTTTCAATGGCACAACAAACTCATGTTGTTGGTGATACTTTGGCTTGGACCGTTCCTAATGGTGGCGCTGCCTCTTATTCCACCTGGGCCGCTGGGAAAACCTTTGCCGTCGGTGACGTTCTTGGTTAGTATACTACTTTCTTCGTCTCATGATGTAGTTTGATTTGACACTGAATTTAAGAAATAAAAAATACTTCTAGCTATAAATCATTTTATTACTAAATATTAAAATATGTCATTCTTTTTAGGACTGACTAAAAAGAAAACGAATCATATAAATTAGAATGGAGGAAGTACTATTTAGTGAATTTTAGTATGTGATATCATGTTAGTTACTATATTTCATTGAATGTTATTTAAGTTACCAATCTTACATGAATTTTTAATGAGTTTAAATTATATACTAATTGGTCATCCTACCCTGATTTATATTCAAGATTACAAATTCTCCTATCTTAAGAAGTTTTATTTTGTATTTATCTTATGTAAACTCGACCAAAATTTCCACTTTGTGTTGCTTTTCGTTACCTATGTTTATTTACTCTAAAATAGTGTTAATGGGTAATGGGTGATACCACCTTTTACTTTATTTATTAGCACCTAGATTCCTTCCCACTTATATTGTTTTTATTCAGTTAATAGTAGTATATATTTTGTCATATGTAGTGACAAATACTTACAAAGTTATGACAGCTATATATATATTTTTAGACACACTACATTCCATTCAACTTTTATGTATATAGTAAGATAATACTAGTCCATACTCACCACCTAACAATCATGCCAAATTCATGATTTAGAGTCGGTGAATTTAGAATAAATATGTTTTAAAAATCAAAATCAATACTTTTCGCAATTTTTTAATGTAATAAATTTAATTTGGACTTTTTTTTTATGCAGTATTTAACTTTAGAACTGGATCACATAGTGTGGCTGAAGTGTCAAAAGGAGCTTTTGATTCATGCAATACTTCAAGCCCAATTTCAATTTCAACTAATGGCCCAACAAATATTACATTGACCTCTGTTGGATCACATTACTACCTTTGTACTTTTCCAAGCCATTGTACATTGGGCCAGAAATTGGCTATTAACGTCTCCGGCTCCGCGTCTCCCGCTCCTCAGCCAGCCCCCGCCACTCCACCCACCACCACCCCGGTGATGGCTCCAGCCCCATCCGTGTCGGTCGCTCCAGCAACGGCACCTGCACCTACTAGTGTAGCCCAAACTTATATTGTTGGAGATAACTTGGGCTGGAGTGTTCCTACTAGTGGCCCAAATGCTTATCAAAGATGGGCTAATGGCAAATCATTCAAAGTTGGAGATACTCTTGGTAAGTACTAATATTCAACTCTATTATTTTTCTTTACGATTTTTATCAGGTTATCAATTATGATAGACATTGACTCATCGTGATCTATGATTGCTCGATTTATAATTATTATTATTTTAAATGTAGTTTTCAATTTTGTGAATGGGACACACAATGTTGCAATGGTTAGCAAGGCATCTTATGACTCATGTAACACAACTTCTCCAATAAACACAATTAGCAATGGTCCAGCCAGAATTAGACTCACAAATTCTGGTGAACATTACTATATGTGTACATTCCCTAGACACTGTTCATTGGGTCAAAAACTAGCCATCAATGTCACCGGCACGGACGTGACCGCCCCCACGCCTTCCACCGCGTCTACCCCATCCGGCCCCACCGTCCCATCGAGCGATTCACCGGTCAATTCACCACCAGCACCAAGTGCCTCAGCTCCATCTTTGGTTCTTGCTGCTTTGCCACTCACTTTCTTGTCATTTGCCTTAGTTAGGTTGTTAAATTAAAGAGTACAATAGTATTTAATTTTGTAGATTTTATATTGATTTTTTTTTTTTGTATTGTTGTATCCTTTTTTTTTACTAGTAAAGCTGAATTTATTGTATTTAAATGACAAATCTAATATTGATCTATAGGTGAAACTTCATGATATTGTCATGATCAATCTTCATATGTGAAACTGGAAACTCGATGAGAATGACTATTTTAAAAAAATAAAAATTAAATAACAACGTTAAAAAGTTATTAGTAAATGTTATGTCTACTCTACTTTCTTTTCCTTTTCCAATCACGCGATGTACGTAACATATTTTTTTTCTTTCTAAAATATAATTATAATAATATCAACAACCCACCCAATCGGACAAAGTTAGTCCAAAATAGATGTTTCGATTTATTTTTATTTTTATTTTCAATCACAAGAACAACATTATTGACAATCCAAAAAAGATATGTATTTATATTATATATATATATATATATATATAATTGGTGCAAAAATGTCCAAAAGGGGGTGGGTGAGCTTCCATGGTCCATTTCACATCTAATGGGTCAACCTCTTGACCTAAAAACATTTAAAAATACTCACACATGCTCCATGTTGTTAGATCCTATGACTGGTTAATAGTTTGTTTTGCCAAGCTTTTAAAATTATTATTTAAAAAAAAATAAGGTGTGAGAAGTGGACAATAGTAGATATAAGAAGAGGTTTAAAATCAATTTATTTTGAAAAGTGAACAGACGTGAGAGGTTGGGTATAGTGGGTATAAACCTCATTATCAATATTAAATAAAATTCTTTCGTTATTAAGGGAAAAAAAAGGGAGATGATTAAAATCAACTAATTTTGAAAAGTGAGGAAGTGTGAAATGTTGACAATAGTGGTATAACCATATAAGTAGAGGTAGATATAGTCTCAAAAGGTCATGGACATGACTTAGACTCACCTGTAGCTTACCAAAGACGTGCCCCTAATTAAAAGGAAGATATGAAAGTTGAGAAATATTAGCTTAGAAGATTTATATCTAGTGGAATGTTGTCTAATTCCCTTGTCAATATTGTTATCCTTACTTTCTTACTATCTTTCGATAAAAAATTTGGAGTTACATTTTTCTTGATAAAATATTCTAAAAAACAGTGTCTTGTTTCTCCAACATACTATTATTAAGTAATTTATCAAATATTTTTTCATCAAACACATCAACCGCTTATTATCATATTCAATACTTCAAACCACACACATAACTGTTTATTTATAAAACTAACTTCAAACACTCAAAACAAATATTTTCCGATATCAAACACTAAGCCAAAAGTGTTAGTGCTAACACAATGGGCACTAACATGACAAATAAAGCAGCCACCCTAGTTGACACGGATCCAGATGGAGACGGAGGAGGAGGAGGAGACGATGACTCACCACCGGGTGTTGACGGAGATGAACCGGGAATAGGGCTTCCGGACGGGGATCCGGTCAACGTGACGTTGACCGTTAATTTTTGGCCTTGGTTGCAATGGATAGTACAAATGAAATAATAATCCCCAGTAGTATTAAGAGTGAATTTTGCTGGACCATTTGTTTCATTATCTATAGGATTTGCAGCATTGCAACTATCAAATGCATTTTTGTTTACTCTAGTTGCTGTGTGTACTCCGCTGTTGAAATTGAACTCTGCATACAATTGAAATTTTACAAGTGTACATATTGAAAAATGACATAAGTAATAAAAAGGTCTCATAAAAACAAAATAATTATAAACATATATCCCTTTATATTCATACTTCACTAAATAACTACACTATATATATATAGTTATATACTATCATTGACTAATGAATAATTTCTGAAAAAGAAACCTTAATGATACCACAACAATATACATATACTCTTATAATATTATTGACTAATGAGTAATTTTTGAACAAGAAATCTTAATGACACTACAATATAAACTGATTTAGTATCAGTTAAGCGAAATTATCTACCAATACAGTATATGATACAAATTTAGTATCAGTTAAGCGAAAATTATCAGTCTTAATTTATGGGGGTATAGGCTATAATTTCTTTTTGAGAGAATGGGTATTTCTTGAATTACTTTAGAATAGGATATGAACATGTAATTATTTTGAGTTTTATGGCCCATTTATGTAGTTTTTTCTAATAAAAAAATCACAAAGTCTAACAATTAATATAAGGGAAAAGGGATAAATATACCTCCGACTTTACGATTTAGAGTTCATATATTCCTTATTAAAAAGTGGCTCACATATAAGGGTGGACTTACGTGGATGCCATGGGGTTCATCCGAACTCTCTCGGCAAAAAATTACACCGTATATATAAGGTAGATTTTCAATATTTTTGTATATGCTAATTTTGAACCACCTAAATCAAAGAAGAGAAATAGCTCAGTGATACTAGACTGTGCAACTTGAGTTGTGAATCCTATACAGTTTGTAGGTTCGATTCATGTTGGGTGTGCGCAAACTGCCTAGTTTTTTTATATTTAATTCTTTAGAGTTTGTACTTTGCACTCTAGTTCATGCATTTAATTAAAGGACTTTTTTAAAAGAAAAATTCAACTAGACATGCTAGTGGGATGATCGCACAGACGCACCATTAATATAAATAGAGTGGCCACATAATCAAGAGAATTATAAGTTTATATTCAAGTATATATTTAGATATGGTAACGCACTAATCTAGCCTCCTATTAGACTAAGTATTTGTTTGTTGAATATTTCTTATTTCTTAATTATTCTAAGAATTTGTGGGTTTCCTTTGTTGCTTCCATTAGATATATTATACTTGGAACTGTTAGGGTGAGTTAAAGTCTCTCATTGGATGGAAAATAGATTGGTAGTTTGTTAATATGAATTTGAACATTTTTTTCTTCATGAGTTAGCTTTTGAAGTAGTTGAGTTAAGCTCAAGTATCATATTTTTCATATAATGTTAGAGTCATATCTTTCTTTATTTGGGCCCTCATGTTATATTGTCCACGTTTCAATTGAGTCTGGACTTGAAAGAGGTGTTAGAGTGAGTTAACATTTCATATTGTTTGAAGAATGAATTGATAATCTGTTTATATGAGTTCAAACAATTTTATCTCTATAACTAACTTTTGAGATTAAGGTAAGACTATACGTCATATCTTTATATAATATCAGAGATGGATCATTCCTGTCATGGTAATATATTGTACATGATCTAATTGAGTTTCGACATAAAGAAAGTGTTAGAATGATACAAAATTCCACATTAATTAGGCTGATAGTCTGCTTATATATGAACTTGGTTAACATTCCCCTCATGAATTCTGCTTGTTTACATTTTTGGATATATAGATAAGATATGAAAGAAAATTTTACTTATATACACCGATGACGTAAAGAAAATTTATGATAACAAGTTATTTAATTATTATTTTTTGTAAGTAACACTTCAATTATAGAAAAATAAAAATTTTGAAATTAAGACAAATCACTTGTTATAAAAATACTAATTAGATTAAACATGAATCAATATAACTTACTTATTATTGGTATTGGTAAATCTATTTGATTAGCGCCAATATTTGTGTGACATCATTTAAATTTCAAGAGTCAATTAAGTTATTTTCTGTCACAAACATTTAATGGAAAAGACTCAAATATGCCATCGAATTTTGAGAAAAGACTCATTTATGTCATCCATTAAAAGTTTGACTTATTTAATTTATGTCATTTTCGTTTGAGAAAAGGATCATGCCATGCCATTATTATTTGTTAACTGAAATGACATAGATGAACCAATATTTTAACGGATGACATAGATGAGCTTTTTTCTCAATGTTTGATGGCATATTTGCGTCTTTTTCCCTTTTAAAAAATAATTTAATTTATGACGTGGACAAATCATAATTGACCACGTGTACAAAATGGCTTTGCAAAATCGAAAATATTTTTAGTTTACAAATAATGGCATGGATGAGCCTTTTCACAAATAGAAATGACAAAAATGAGCCAAACTTTTAACGGATGACATAGATGAGCCTTTTCTCAAAGTTAGATGGCATATTTGAACATTTTCCCATTTTTTAATGCCTAGTAAAATATTTAAACTGTCAATTGTTGTTACTAATACTGTTTTTAAAATGATTTAAAAATATGCAAATTGTATTTTCAAAAAGCTTCAAGATGAGATTTCATGTCCGAATTAGTGATTTTTTTTTTTAAAAAAAAAATCAACTCTAAAAATTTGAATAACACCACATAAATTAAGGCAGAAAAAATAATACCTTGCTATCTCTGAATAAACTAACGTACTTTTTTTAATTAAAAAAATCCTTTTATTGTCAACAAATATAAGCTAATTTTAACAATAATAACCATAGTAGTTCATATACTATTCCTTTTTATCTTTTTTAGTTATCATGCTTACTAAAAATAGTTGATCTAAAATTAATTATTATTTTAAAAATTAGGATATAATTATTTATTTATTTTCATCTGTACTCTTACTCAATACATAAGAAAAGAAAATTAATATGGTAAAAAAGAAAGTAGCATTAAACAAAAATCAAAGAATAAATAAAGATAATTTAATCGAATTACTCTTTTAGTCAACATTTTCTTCAGGAAAATTGTGTTAAGAAAAACATGACAAGTAAAATAGATTCGAGAAATCAAGTACTTATTCTTTTTAGGTTCTAATATTATTAATAATATAAATTTTGGCTCAAAATGTGCCATCAAACTCCCTAATGTGTACTTATTACTTTTTATCAATTTTATTGTGTAACAAAGAAGGATTTGCACTCTCACACCACAGTTACCTTACGTCCAGATTGTTTCTGAATTCAATCCAAATTCAATGGGTCAGAATTTTAATGAATCTGATTTGGTGATGTGGACCTCTAACAAGAGGTCATGTGGCAAAGTTGGTTTTACAAAATCACTCCATTAGAATAATAATGGCATAAATGAGTCTGTGTTATAATGATGGTGGCATAAATGAGCAAAATTTTTAACAAATGGTACAAATAAGTCATTTTTAATAGTTCGATGGCATATTTAAACCATTAATCAATAAAATGTCCACTAAGAATTAAAACAAAAACTATTAAGTAGAATTATTTGCTTGTGTATGTGATATGTGTCAAACATAATTAATCATTAGTGTAATTTGATTCATTATAACTGATTATTCATTGTTTATTATAAATTTATATCCAGATGATGCCAAACGATGATTATGCACTTGTTTGTGCGGATTTGTGGATTGAGCGCTGGTAATGAGATTGAACTCTGTTGGGATACTCACATAATTTTAAATTCAAACTAATTAAAAATGATAGTCTTGTTTTGTGAAATCTTGTGATATTTTCTATAGGAGGTTGAAATATAATTATTATAATTATATTTAAAAAGTGTCATGTTCGATGAAATTTTGTGATGATTTTTGTAAGGAGATTGAAAGGTTGTAATAATTATATCTGAAAAAAGGAATAACATAATTTTTTTTATTGTTTTCTTTTCCTATTTCTTAGAATATCATGTTTCTATCAGTAATTTTATTTTATGTTTTTTTAAAAAAATTTAACACGACATGAAGTAATTTTAAAAAATAGTGAGAATTTTTGAGTCATTTTTAAAAATTAGGATATAATTAATTATTTATTTTCACATGTACTCTTAATACATATGGAGAGACATTAATATGATTTAAAAAAATAGAATTGAACTAAAACTAGTGAATAAGTACAAATAATTTAGTCAAATTATCCTTTTAGTCAATATTTTCTTAAAAAATATATTGAAGAAAAACATGACAAGTAAAATGGATCGGAGAAAAGTAATATATACTCACCTAGAATGTCCCCAACAACAAAAGTATGTTGATTAGCCCAATTGGAAAAAGTAACAACACCATTAGGAGGAGTTTGCCAACCAAGACTATCACCAACTATATATGTTGTTCCTACTGAAACTTCAATAACACAACCAAACAACAAACACACTAACAATAATAATTTGGCACATGATGAACCAAATTTTGTAGCCACAATAATTTCCATCTCAATATAACTTTTTTATATGTTCTCAATGGATTTGGTCACCCCTTGTGTTTAATTTAATTTGTATCTTGTTGTAGTTTAGATTAGTGGTGTGTTTTTGCTGAATAAATAGGGAAGAAGCCAAAGGTAATACCTATTGGAGTAGTTGAGAATTTTTGCTTTATAAATTTAAAAGTCAGACTTGGATTGTGGATAAGGTACTCCCTCCCTTCCATGTCTTGTTTTGCTTCTCGACAGTCAGACTGCTATATGATTTTTGACTAACATTTTAAAACATATTTTTAAAATCAAATTAACATGAGAAAAATTGCAATTCATAGTATTTATCATATAGTTTTTGAATATCAAAATTTTAAATATAAATGTTGAGCTTATCTAATCTAATTTAATTTTAAGATGAGTCAAATTGAGTAGTTGCAAAAAGAGAAATATGACAATTAATTTGAGATGGAGTAACATAAACTTTTCACATCAATTGAGATAAAGCATGCATGTAGCATAACTAGTCAATGGTTTGAGGATTAAAAATATTTTTTGGATCATGCCGGTCCTAGAAAATGTTATATTACCTAGTATATTATTTTGGTTTGGATTCTTTGGTTAGGTAAAATTTGAAGTATAAAATTTTTGTTTGGATTCTTTGGTTAGGTAAAATCTATATATATATATATATAATAAAGGAGAAACATGGAGAAGGTGATGTGGCACCTCTCTATGGCCTCCAATGACATTTTTCTTTTTTCTCCTTTTTTTTTGACATTTTTTCTTAATTTCTCTACATAATATATTTACTAACTAATTTAATTAACAAATATTTAACAAATTGAATATTCCTTGGTAGCAGCCCATCCACGTACATCTCCCCACGATTTCTCTTTACGTAATGTGTATTAACTTTTGGTATTAATCACTGATAATTAGAATGAAAATTAATTGGGAAATTTCTGTCTTTTGATACTCTATTGTTTACCCTTTATATATCTTCCTATTCATTTTTTTTATGTGGAGATATGTTATTGTTAATTCATATATGTTGTGCTTTGGTGTGTGTTTTTGATTGTACAATTTAATAATATCTTGTAAAATTCATTCAATAATTTTGTTCCCACATAAAAAAAATGAATAGGAAGATATATAAAGGGTAAACAATAGAGTATCAAAAGACAGAAATTTCCCAATTAATTTTCATTCTAATTATCAGTGATTAATACCAAAAGTTAATACACATTACGTGAAGAGAAATCGTGAGGAGAGAACGCTCTAACTTACTATTATAAAGAAATTTAATGCATTAGTAAATATTATTGTCATTTGCAGTGCATGAGTTTTTGAGTTAGAAATTGATTCAAGATTATGGACAAAGGCATCATCATTACTGGCCATTTTACATAGATGTTCTTTTTGGTAATGTTTTTTCTTTACATCTAAATAATTTAAAATTAGTGTTTACATTTGATCTTGTAAGAATTTTTTTGTGTGCGATCTCTATTCTTTATACATCAAGCAAGATATCTAATCTCTCTCTATATATAGGCACTTCTCTGTGACAAAAAAAAAATCTTCTTTTTTGGTTTTATTTTTATTTTTTATTTATGTCTATATATTAAAAAAAAACTCAAAAATTGCTCATCTAACTCTCTTAATTATTCCTTAACAATGTTAAATGTTTAACATTTTAAAATTAAGGCGTTAATTGTACCTCCATGATAAATAAATAAAAAGAATTGAGGAAAAATAACATTGGTACTCCTACAACCTTACGACTTCTCAATTTTTCAATTTTAGAGGTAAGAATTTTATGGTATAAAATTATGAATTGAATGTTAGCAAGGCTAATTTATCTCTCTTAGCCAGGGGCAGACCTACATTGAAGCTTTCAGGGTGCTTAAGCACCCATTAATTTCTTATCAAATTATATATATTTATATAGAAATTTGAACGAATAGTATAAAATTAAATAGTGAGCTTTTAAGCAACAAGTAGTTGATCGGTGCAGTGGTTATTTATAGCCACTCAAAGTTGTATATTGCACCTGTTGTGTCCTAAACACCCACAACCTTAAAATCTTCAATCCGACACTACTCTTAGCCACCGTAAGGATTTTAGAAGTATTGGAAGAAATTTTATGCAATTATTGGTACATCCTGATCCAAGAATATATAGTAGAAACCACTTCTATTTTTGTTTAATTTGAATAAATGTAATGGTGATTTGAATTACTTCTTATAAATCTTAAGTATGACTATAGTTTTCTTTTGAAATAGGTTGTCTTATTCATATGTGATTGATTGTTATTGTTTCACTTCTCACAGTTAATACATTTGGAGATACTTATGATGCAATATTGGTTGAATAATTCTTCTTTTGCTTCAAATCTCAATTCATATCAAAGTGATATAAAAAATATAATTTTGATTGTTATTTTCGTCACCTATAAATTTTTGAGATGACAATAACTGTTCATTTCATTTCATTTAGAAAACTAAAGAAGGGGAAAGTAGAAAAGAGATAATTATTCATTTCAAAATTAGACAAATCTAAAATCGTATCTCATTTAGCTTTATCACAATACTTGTGTCTAAACAATTAACATAAATAACTATGATATAAATAGATGGTTTTCTCCTTTAAATATCTTTCTACTTTTGATTTTTTAAATGAGAAGATACTGTTTTATATTTTAAAATTTATAGAAGCGGGTGTATCTCATGTGCACCCAAAATTAGTGGCTATGAATTTTCATAGAAGTTCCTAAAAAAAATGAAATTTATACCATTTTATTTCAATTTACATTTCAAATGGACATACATCCCTTTGAATCATTTGTTAATAATAAAAATGTTGGATTTAAGGTATGAATTGAGTTCAAATGCATGACGTGTATAAACATTTTTCTTTTCTTTTTCAATAGGAAAAAAAGAAGAAGGATTATAGTATCTAAATTCACAAAATGACCTTATAAATACTTTTACAATCGTGCAAGTGTGACCTTAATTTTTCTTGTATTCATCAACTTAATTAGTATAAAATTTCCTCCATTCATATTTATCCCTTTTCTCCCTTTTTAAATCATTTTTTTTTAATATGTCAAAAAGTTTGAATATCATAAATTTGAAGTGGTTAAACGTTATTAAGTCTCTTTAATGAAAATGAAAAAGTGTTATTAAGGCAAATTTGAGGAAAGGTCTATGAAATTATCCTTTTCTTTCTTCATAGATCTACTATTTTTATGCTAATTTGGATGTTAGTTGTACATATAACACATTTACGTTAGAAAATAACATGATTTTAATGGAAGAAAACTTTAAGCTAATCCTTACGAAAATGTCTAAATCCTTATTTTATTTATCTACTATCAAATGTATATCTTCGTCCTTTTTTTTGGTAAATTTATTATTTTATTCTTATTACAATGTCATAACTTTATAAAAATTAACATATTTAAATGGATAATAAAGTCGGAAATTTTCAATTATTATAAATCTAACATAAAATTAAAAAAAAAGTATTAAATAGTGCTAATTAAAGGTTTTTTTTTTTTTTTTTGGATAAAATCAATATCTGATGAATCAAGTTAAAATTATAAATCTAAGTGTTAGATTTTGTCATCTTATTTGTTTGGATTTGAATATCGAAAATAATTTTCAAGACTTTTTCTCACCGCGCGTAGCGCGGCTAAGTTTACTAGTATATATATAAAGCTAGATAAAAAAATAAAAAAAAAAGTGATGTGGCATCTCTCAATGGCTTAGGATCCTATTTATTTATTTTTTGAGTTTTTTCATTCATTTGTTTCATTAATCAATTTATTAAATAATTAAAAAAAAACAATCATATTCATTACATATAATTATATCATATGAAAGTTACAAAAAAACCTCCACCTATTTGTATTCTCTAATTAAATAACATGTCTCCTCAACTTCCTTCTATTTAGTTCTTATGATTTAAATCATCTATGGTGTTGTTGCATGTTCATTTATATTTTCTCCAACTTCATATTGTTAGTATATTTTTTGTTTTCAGCTTTATGAAGATTATAGATATATGTTTTAAAATTTCTTGTTGTGTTACAATAGCCAAACAAAAGTTTATCAAGATGAAGAAGAAAGTTTGAAGCCGGTGTAAGATTCGTCAAAGGAGATGATAAAAAATTAATTGGCTACAAGTCATCAAAATGAAGAAGAAAGTTTAATGACGGTAGAAGATTCATCAAGAGTTGGTCAGATTATAATTTGAAAAAGTAGAAGTTTCAATAATTTACAAATATATAGATGCACTTATTGTTGCTTATATAATTTTTCAATTAATTATTTACCCATCAAGATATGTACCCTTCAAGAACAAGATTATATTACAAAAGCACACTTTTTTGTATCAAGGGCAACATGTTCTTCTACTGACTATTTTGTTGCTTAAATATTTTTTTTTGATATTTTCATCATAACAACTTTTGTCTTTTGAAAATACTATCCATACTCTATCGATATATATTATGTATATAACATGTTATTATGACATAAGTTCTTGATCAAGATTCCATCATCTTTTGTTTAGTTTCATCCGCTTCTTTTCACTTTAATTTAGATGATATAATACATTTTTTTCTTTTGTGGAATTTGAATTGACTAAAAAAAGAGATGAGATCCCCTCCATTAAGTTTTTGTTTCGTATTTGTTAACACTTATGTAAAATTAGTCTATATATACTTGTGTAAAATTAGTCTATATATATGATTGTTGGATTCAATTTTCACAAAACATATAATTCTTTTAATTTAATGAAATTTGTCCAAATGAACCAAGTTTGTTCTACCAATATCCAATTACAATGAACATATTTTCTTAAGTTAAGAAATACTAAAAGTAGAAAAATATTTATACATAGAGAAAATTATCTAAGAATTAAGTTGATTATGAAACTGTAAAGATGAGTTTACTCTCTTCATTAATTAATTTGTTTGATAATTAAAAAAATCATAATATTTATTACATCTCATAAATTACAAAAACCTCCATCTATTCACATTTTCTACTTAAATGACATATCTCCTCAACTCCTTTCTATGATTCTCTTCATTACCTCTACATTTAGTTTTCCCAAAATATAATGGCTTTAAATTTTAGTCTATCATTTGCACATCAACTATTCAAGGTTTACACGTAAGAACATTTTCACGGATGCATATGTTTTTTTATCTATTTGTGGTTGTAAGTTTTTGGTAACAAGCCATACTCTAACTTTATTTTTTTTTAAAATAGGAAAATACTACTGTGTTGCGTTGTTCTTTTTATTAGTTGGTTGATCCATCTCATGACTTACAAAAATCTTTATCTATTTTTTTTTTACTTAAATAACATATCTCCTCCATTCCCTTTCACCTAATTATTTCTCTCTTTTTAAGACTTATTCTCATTTTTCTTTCATTTACAGCATAGATTAAAATTACTTAAAATTAAGTCATTTATTTGTTACATATATGAGCGCTCTATTTAACTTTAAAAATGAATGATTTATTTTCCTGATGACGTTGTGTACATATTTCGTATTTAAAAATTCATTTCATTTATAATTATTGAACATTGTAAATGAGGGGCAAAAATGAAAGAATTTTTCAACATCTCCCATAAACTTTGACCAATTCACTTATTTTGAACTATGAAAAATGGCTCAACAATTCACTTATTTTGAAATAAAGGGAGTATATATTATTTATTAAAACTCAAGATTTTTAAAGTTTGTACTAAAATAATGAAATATATTTTTCTATTTTCTAACTTTTTAGTAATTAAATAAAACGACCACAACGAAACATACAAAATCCACACTAAAATGAATTGAATAAAACGACCACAACGAAACATACAAAATTCACACTAAAATGAATTGTACTATTTTAGTGAAATATATTGAGTTATAAAGATAAACTTTTTTATTTGTGTGAAGACGAAAAAGAATTATAAATAATTTCGATATGATATAAAAACAGACAATAGCAAAAACTATTATATAGTAAGAGTCCTACTTATTCTTTTTCTCCTTTTCTTTTCTTTTATTTTTTGCTTTTTGTCATTATTTTTAAAATATGATTTTCTCTAAATAATTACACCTTTAGTGAGTTTTGTAACTCCTCAAGAGTTAAAATATTCATTATTTATTATTTGTATAATAATTATTTGATAATTAAAATAAATAAAAATGACGATATAATTTTGTATCGAGTTGTTTGTTGAAACATTAATATTGATTGCTTTTCAATTTTATTATTAGGATTTTATATATTTATCTTTTATTTGATTAGAAAATAGTTATTCGTTCTTTCCTTTGTATTACTATTGACATGCCTTTTGTTATTTTTCATATTTTAACTTGCACAAAAATAAAGACTTTTAAAAAATATTTCGTACCTGACAAGTATGATTTTTTGTTAAATAAATCATATTGAGGAATGATTTAAAAAAGGTCCAAGTTTAGTAGTTCCTCATAAAAAATAAGCATCCCTTCTTTTAAAAAATGAGGAGGACGAATTATTTACTTTTCATTTGATGATCAACGGCAAATAGAAAATTAAGCAGAAAATTAAGTTAGTTTTTTTTTTCAAAATATAAAACATGTTTTTTTCACTCCAACAAAATAATAAGAAAATTGTATCTTATAAATTGAAACAATTATGATAAACACTTTAAAGTTTTTACGTAAGTATTGATCATATTTCTTCTTTTTTAGTATGTGCTACTTTAAAAGAAAATTTTGTCTCTAAAATAGTTGTTATGATCGCGCGAAACGCGAACATGTTAACTAGTTTTAAGTATAAAGTAAAGAAATCCCAATAGTTTGGGCAGCAATTACATTCTATTCTGAATTTTTTTCAAATTACAATAATTTTGGGGTTTTCAAAACTTGCAGACGCATTGTTCTTTCGCCCAATACATAGCAAACAATACATAAGTTATGTATCAGATATATAAGTTATGTATCATATGTATAACTATAAACCAGATTCATACTGATTTAGGTTTGAAATAATTGATGTTATTTATGCATCAACATCTATACCAGATACATTGCACACAAACAAAATTGTAATGTATCTGATAGAGGTGAAGTAATGTATCCAGATGTTAAGAGAGAGAAGGAAAAAAGAAATTTTTGTAATTAATTTAAATGGTAGTAGAAGTTTTTAGAGATTGTGTTATCTTAAATTGTGTAATTACGTAATTTATCCAAATTTCAATATATGGTCGATGATGGACCATGGTTCTATTATTCATTCTCTTATTTATAATTTATGTGTCGATTGTTGATTTAGTATGTAATAATATTGATTTAATTATTGCTAAATGATTTTATAAGAATAATATTATCGTTAAAAAAAATGCGTCTAAATAACTCTTTTATTATAGTGATTATTCACTTTCTCCTTTTTAATTTATGTAGCGATTGTTAATTCAGTAATGCAATTTAAATCTATCATGATATTTTTGTGATCATACAATTAATGAGAAGTAAATAAAAAGTATCTAGCTATAAGTTATTTTAAATATGAAAATATATCATTTTTAATAGATTAATAAAAGAAAATAACATTATATATAGTAATTTCACCATGCTTTGTCAATAATATAAGTCATTTAGTAAAATGTTAATTAATATATATATATATATATATATATATATTCAAAGAATTAAAAGTTAATTTATTTGATTATAAAATAATAATTATAAAATGTATATATAATACTAATCAATCTAATATTATATCAGTAAAATATATTTAAAAAATGATCGGTGATGGCAATGACTAACGATATGGATTGTGGGTGCCAATAAGTGGCGATGGTTGATGACAGTGTTGGCAGGTTTGTGGTGATGGTTACTGGTATATGTGTAGTATAACTAGTGACAATAGTCGTTGATAATAATGATTAATGATGATAGTGATAATAATGGTTTATAACTGTGGTGAATGATAATAATGGTTAATGGGGACGACTAATAATTATAGTGAATGATAATGATAGTTAATAGTGGCTGGTGATATAGATTGTTGAACGATTGTCGATAATGATTGGTGCTAATGGGATAGTAGTTGATAATGATGAATATAAATAATGATAGTTAATGGTGGCGGGTGATATATTTTTAATGACTATTTTTTGAATGGGTCAGAATTTTAGTGAATTTGATTTGGTGTGGTCCTCTAACATGAGATCATATAGCAAAGTTGGTTTTACAAAATCACCATTAAAAAATAACGACATAAATAAGTTTATTTTATAACGATAGTGACATAAATGAACCAAACTTTTAACAAATGACACAAATGAGTCATTTTTAATAGTTCAATGGTATATTTAAACAATTAATAAAATATTCACTAATAGTAAAAACGAATACTATTAAGTAGAATTATCTGGTTGTGTATGTGATATGCATCAAATATAATTAAGCATTGGTGTAATTTGATTTATTATAACCGATTGACCATTGTTTATTATAAATTTATTAAATAAAATTACTTTTAATTACATTTAAATAACTTGCTTGTGTGTGAGATTCATTAAATCAAGTTGTAGTAGGAAAGTGATAAGAAAATTTTAAAATATAATTAATCGCAATAATCTGATTATAATTTTGTGAAATCAATCTTTATTATAAAAGTAATTATTATGTTATATAATCAATAGGTAATTTCAAGTTCAACAAAAAAATGTGCCCAATTGTGCCTTTAATGCCCTCTTGTAAAATGCAATTAAGTGGTACTAATCTCCTAGCATTGTTGTTATTCTATAGTTAACGCATAACACATAAATATACCTTTTAAAACAAGAGGGAGTTACTTGGATTGGATGGTAAGTATCCTTCACTCCAACCCTAAAGTTGTGAGTTCGAGTCACCAAGGGAGCGAAAAGGTGTGAGCTCCTATGGGGAGGTATAAAAAAATTGGAAAAAGAAAAAATTCCCTTTAACTTGGCAGTGTCCTCCTACTTTGGGTGTGCACAAACAGATATTTAAACTTGTATAGAGTTGGACAAGTAGACACATACGTCCTACTTGTGAACATCCAAAGTTAGAGAACATAGATGCCGAATGAGGTCAAGTTAAAGAGCAAATGTATGTATTATTGTGGGACTTTTTTTCCAATAGGATCATAACACTCCTATTGTCAAGTCAATGTATCCACAAATTCTTCAATTGTTGTAATACTTATGAATGGTTTGCCTCGATCTGTACTTAAAATGCTAAAATTTATTAAATATACATAAAATCTAATCTCTACAAGATATATATGTGATGTTGATGATCTATTAGTCCATCATATAATCCATTGAAACTTGAATTATCTTAGAACAAATATATATGACTATAAAAATCAACAGGATTTTGATGTTGCAGTAGTATGATATAGTGGTAGCATTATATGCAGAGGCAGACCCGAGTGGATGCACGTGCAATCGTTAACCTTGGAAAATACTATGTATAAAGCACCTTAATTTCTTGATAGATTATTGTATATATTACATGAATTTATTTTAATACAAATACATGATTTGAACTATTGAGTTTTGTTGAACCCACTATTCAATTTCATAACACCATTTCTATGTCTTATTTACCAAAAAGTAGACATAAAAAAGTTATGGAAGAATTGAAATTGGTACATAAATTGAAGTATACTCACAACTAAAAGAAAGATACTTCTATTAAAAACTCACACAATCACTAGTTACTCAAATCAATGAACAATATTTCAAGTATACAATGACCATGTCCTATAATGATACAAACTCATATGTAAAAAGTTATACAAACACTCAAGTGACTAGAATCTACCACATGATACTAATAGCAATGGACATGAACATGATCAAGGCAGGTGCAAAAACGCTTCGCGAGGCAGAGCTTGGAGCCGGTGGAGGAACTAGACCATCGCTTGGTGTCGTAGGTGAAGGAGTAGTAGGCTCCGGTGTGACTGGTCCAGGTGGTGGTGCAGACGATGGTGAAGCTCCTGCACCACCACTTGGACTAGGAGACGGTCCAAATGGACCGGCTGATGGTGATGGACTTGGCGTTGGCGTTGGTGCACGGGTAGGGTTCGGGACGGGTGATGGGGCAGGGGAGGTAGCAGGGGATGGGGCAGGGCTAGGAGTAGTAGTGGAAGATGTTGTAACATTGATAGCTAGTTTTTGGCCAGCATTACAATGTTGGCCAAAAGTACAAATAAAATACTCACTACCTGTGGAATTTAGAGTAATATTGGCTGGTCCAACAGTAATAAGAGTAATAGGACTTGAGGAGCTACAAGAATCATATGCACTCTTTGTTACTTTGGCTACATCATGTGCTCCAGTTGCAAAGTTGAACACTACAAAATTGAAATTGAGAAAATTAGGTTCGACTATATGAATCTTCACTGTCCATATCGTTTCATTTAAGCTAAGACATCATAGTCTTGTATCGTAAAAAATATTAAACTAAAAGACAACCCCACCACCACCAACAGCAAATGTCCTTCAATCCAGAGCAAGTTCAGGTCGGCTATATGAATCTTCATTGCCCATGTCGTTTCTTTGATGTTGATGACATGGGTGGTGGATTCACATATGAAATAGTTAAACTTGATGACATTTCTCAAATAAATTGCATAACATTTAAAGATTGCTTTTGAAATAAAAATTTACTCTGTTTCTCTTCTTCTTTCAACAAGTTTTTAGATTTTTGATAGTTTTGATCAAAAGCAAATAAGTCATCTATATGTTAACAAATCAACTATCATGGTACCTAAACTTTCAATAAACGACAACTACGTCTCAATCCCAAACAATTAGCAGGGTCGGTTATCCAATCTTTGAACTAGAAAAGAAAAATATAAAGTTGATGGTAACTCTTCAAATTCGATTGTTAGTTCAAGTTACCTTTCAAACATACGAGATTCTGCATCTACTTAATTCGAGATGAAGATCAATCATCCTTACCATTGTATAAAAGAAAGAGGTATACGTAATAATATACATACCTAAAGTATCACCAACTCTGAAGGTACGTCCTGAAGCCCAATTTGCATAAGTTGTAGGCCCTGAGGGAATTGTCCATCCCATAGTATCACCAACTATATGATCAACCGCTACTATATTCCCCGGCAACACCGCCAAAATAGTCATCAAGACTAGTGCAATTTTCATCTTTGTAACCATTTTTTTTGTGTTTTCAGGTAGCCCCTAATTGGATCTTTCTTGCTATAATTAACTTTCCACTTTTGTATGTGTTGTACAAAAAGTTGCAAAGTTTGAACTTGAATATTTGTTTGTTATAATACAAGGTTGTATTTATAGATTTATTTAGTCTATGGAAGTATCTAGGATGTTTCAATTGAATATGCCCATGAATTTTGACTAAGTCAAATAAAAAAAAAATATCATGAGCACAATTAGGAAAGTGATGGAATTTAGAAAGATTTTGGAATTTAGAAAAATTATTATAATTGGAAGTTGAACTGCTCCTTATTGGATGTTGGAATAGTTCAAAAAATTCTGCCAAATTCTCAACTTCCTAGAAATTAATAAAATAGTATTATTTTAATATTTATGGGTTAAGTCTATCTGCACCAATTAGTCAAAATGGAAAAAAAAATATTCACATGTCATGTTTACACTTGTCAGCACACACGTTTTCATTAAGATGTAGTTTGGTTGGTAAAATAACAATAATAATCTCGCGATAAAATGTGGAATTATTTTTATTTTATACTCTATTTACTTATGTGTATTAAATAGTTTCAAGATTATTTTACTTCACCATTTGTATTTAAATGATAAAATTAGCTACCATCACGGGCTAAGCTAAGTGGAGATTCGAGGATTTAGACGAATCTAATAGCTTTTTCGTAGATTTCGTATTTATATTTAAAAAGTCAAATAAATATATATGTATATTAACTTGGAAATTCCTTAACAAATTGATTGGCGGCTCAAAGGTAAGGAAGGGACTGTGAAATGTTTTTCACACTAGAGTTGTGTCCTAATTCTGACCCCACCTTTGTTATTGGGCGAGAATGCTTTGCAATATTTTTATCTTCCGTCCTAAAATTTAGAACCTCTAAACGACTCTAATAGTGTGGTTTAATGGTTAATGAACTGCATTGAAAATTATGAGATTGTAAGTTCACATCCTAATAAAAACAAAAATAGTAAGTGATTTACTTATGTATTCTATGAAATTAATCGAAATATTATAATTATCAAGAACTAATTATGTGATCAATACAATAACAACAATAGCATATATATTCGATATAATTTTCATAAGTGAAATCTAAAAATGATAGAACCTATTTAAATTCTACTTCTATCTTTATAAGATAAAAAGACGATTTTGTATAGAACTTTGACACAAGAAATATGAGTTCATTAATCAAAATGGAATGGTCAACTCAAACGTCGACTTCAAGACACTTGGCATGATGCTAATTTAACTTGGTTGACGTATAAACCCCATCTTTGAAATGTATAAAGTCCAAGTCGTCTTTGTTCTTCTTTTCTTTATTGGAAAAGGTACAAGTACCCTCTAGATTATGATCGAAATCTCAGAGACATATTTTAACTAAACTAAGGTCTTATTACCCCCTTCCCTCCGAATCCATTTTTTTTGTAATTTTGTGCACCTTTTTGGCTTACGTGACATCCAAATATTTCCCACGCACCTCTATTGCGTGGAGTCACGGAGTGTGCTACGTAAGACAAAAGGTGTACAAAATTACAAAGAAATAAGTTCAAGGGGTAATAGGACCTTAGTTTAGTTAAGGTGTGTCTCTGGAATTTCGGTCATAGTCTAGGAGGTACTTGTGCCTTATCCCTTTCTTTTTTAAAGAAAAAAAATACTTCATTTCATCTTATTTTATGCTATGGATGTGTTATCTAGGTAAATATTATGATTTCGAACCAAGACCTGTCTCCCGACTTAACGCAGGACCTGACCTCGACATGACACTGACCTAAGATCCGACCCCAATGTTGACACAAACCCAAGATTGAGATTAAGCTAGAGATCCTAACCCTGACACCCAACCCCAACTCGACCCCCAATCGAGACTTGACCTGACCTTGACCCTAAGACCTAACCTTGACACTTGACCCGAATTCACACCTCGAGACTAGATACCCTAACCTCGAGACCCAACCCTAACCCCCGACACCGAGACTTTACCCTAACCTCGAGATTTGACCCCAAGATCAAACTCAAGACCTAACCCGAACTCAACCTCAAGATTCGAGACCCAACCTCGACTCGACCTAAGAACCCAACATAAACCCTGATTAGCCCCAACCCCCGCCCCCAACAACTTTGAGATCTGACCTCGACTCCAATTCCAAGACCCAACCCCGATCCAAGACACGACCCTGAGACCCGACCTTGACACTAACCTATAACTTGGTCAAGTCTTGGGTCGATAAGTCTCAATCGAGTCGGGTATCAGATAATGGTTTAGGGTCGAGTTGAAGTCGTGTCTAGGTTGGTCCTAGGTTGGGGCGGAACTCAGCTTAAGTGAGCCAAGTCGAGCCTTGAGTTGATTTGGGGTGGGGCTGAGGTGCGTTATGAGGTGGTAGGTTGAAGGGCTAGGGGTCGGAGAATTTGGCAAGATTAGGTGAGGATGGTGAGGGAGAAAGAGATTTTAGTAGGTAAGTTAATTTTCCATAAATTGATGGAAAATAAGTTCGTGTGAAAAAATATTTTTCAAATTATTTAAGTCAACTGAATATGAAAAAATTGGAAGCGGACACACCCTACTTTAAGCGATGGACAGAGTCAATTTAGTAGAGAAAACAGTTACTTGATAATTTAAATAATTCAAAAAATAAAAATCCTTTAAGTTCTTGAAAATTGTAAACTAATATTATTGAATTGAATATCAATAGAGATGTTCAGATTATATGTAAATCAATATTACTGAAGTCTTGCCAAGATCATAACATCAATAAAAAAATGTTCAAAGTTTAATCTTATCAAATTTACAATTTCAATAAAATAAAATATCTGAAATTAACTTAGGCAAGTCATACCATACTTCACACAAAAATCAAATCATTTTCATATGCTATATGTTTTAAATATCACAATATAAATTGTGACAATTTAGTTAAAGCCAATTCAACTACTTTACCAATCAAACATGGCTTGGTGGCACCTTTGTGTATTTCACCAAATTGACCTATTTTAGTTGCAACTTTCACACCTACTCATGACCAAACTCACTTGCAAAAAAATAAAAAGGAATTGCATGATTGGAAATAAGAATAATCAAAGAGACTTGATCAAAAGGGGCATCTTAATATCTTATCATATCTTTGAAGAGCAACTTTTTGGACCACTAAAAGAGCAACATGAAGTATTCCAATTCATCACATCACTTACCATGTTAGAAGTTGTCTCCATACTATTTGAAATTGTTTCATTTTATATTTCATTATACTATCGATTTAGAAATTTAATGGACTCTATCTAGTAAAAATATATTTCGAGAAAGGTTCATATTTATCCCTCAATCTGCTTTTGACTATGCTTCAAAACTATCCTCAGATTAAAAGCTTTTTAACGATCAATAAATGATACAATTTTCATTAAACATGATGTATTATATAGAATAAAGTTGTTAATTTTCAAATAGTATTAACAGCAAATTTGATGATTTTTATTGGCCAATAAATGCCCTTTAAAAGTGGAAAAATGCCCTTTTACAACATTCGAAAGGTGGGGGAAAATTCAGAAGAATAAAATAAAAGAATCAAAGACATTTTAAATAAAATAAAAGAACAATAAATACTGCTAAATGATCATTATTTTCTTAGTGAAACTTCTCATTTGAAAAATATTATTTTCACAAATATTTTGATTGAATCATCGAGAAAAAAATAATAATATTTTAAAAAGGAAAAATTATGAAGTTTCTCAGTATTTCGGTCAGAATCTATATAAATTTTCATCATGTGCTATCCTAGTAAGATTGTTTGGTGAAAAATAGGTGGAAAAATCACATTTTATAACATAATTTTTTTATTGATTTCTAGGACCCGTCTTTGTTTCTGCTTTCTAGTAGTGAAATAGAGTAACATAATAAACTTCTTATATGCAATTTTATTTTATTTTTTCGTTTCTCATCCGGTGTCTGAAACCCACATTGGAGTTCTGACTAAATCTGGATCGCGTACTGCAGGGTCCATTCGGGAGTGGCGCTCCAACAAAATTTTCTCCATACCCAAAGCTCGAATTCGAGACCTCTGGTAACTTCTTGTATGTAATTTGCATATAGATCATTATATATTTTCTCTGTTCACTTTATTTATCTATTATACTATATTTTCACTTTTATTTATCACTGTTGGCATATATATCAAGAGAAAAATATAAATATTTTACTTTTAACTTCAATTATTTTTTCTTCATGACCTAAGACTAGAAGTATCCACCAAATTATAGTGTATCTCATACTCTGAACATTTCAGTAATTAGGGTCCCTACCTTACTTGTTAAGATCTTAATCTAAGGTCACTCAAATCATTTAAGGCCAACCATTTTTATTCCAAACAAATCCCTTTCCAATGAAATGTTTAGTCATATTTCTAGTTTACTTTTCAAGTTTCTCGATACTTCAAAATTGTTGACTATAGAATAGTTCTAGATAACAATTTATTGGTTCTCAATTGATAGTTTGAACAGGTAATTGACTTATCAATTGAGAGTTTTTAATGATCATGCACAAATTAGTCAATAATTTTGTCTGATTAAGAAGAAAATAAACTAAAGAACCTTCCTACATTGATATTTCCTTGGTTAATTTTGCATATAATAAAGGATAACAATAGTTTAAGTCAAGTTCCTATTGAAATAGGATCCACACAAGTAAAAAACATTTGTTCCGAAAACATTCGAATCGAAATATGGCTTTCAAATGATGTTTCAAATTAGTAAATGCTATCAAAGGAAGTGGCGATGTCATATGCAAAAAGCAAGAAACTCATAAAATAACAAAGGCAAATAGAACGTTTGCACATTCTCATTGATCCATGAATAGGACAACGGAGTCAAACTCAATCACATTCTCTTAGTATAAAGTAGAGCAGGACCGTTGGCCTGATCCAACTCCCCATCCAACCGCCCTGGCGTATGTTTCTGAATCAACACACTAACAATGTATAGATTCTTTACCCCATCAAGTTAAGTTGACCTAAAACATGTAACTTTTCATATCATGTCTGATATGGTACTTAAATTGAACTTATGGTGTAAAAGTTCTATATACCGTCAATGCATATAACGTAAAT